ATTAATCCACATTAGTAATAATATCAGCACGTTTCCCTTGCTATGCAAAGGTTGGGTTGATGCTTACTTCCAATGGAGCTAATGAATGTACAAGAACAAATCCATGCATCTTGCTTGACTTTGGTTTTGAACCATGGCATGAATCAGAGGTGGTATTTGTGAACACAGAACAGACAGAAAGTTCTGTGTTGAGTCAGGAATTGTCCACACTGACAGCATGCCTTCATTAAATGGAGTGGCAGACCAGTTAACACAAGTAAAGACAATGTCAAGAACAGATCAATGAATATTCAAGCTGGTGGGGGTCTCAGACATCATCTGGTCCTTCTCCCACATTCTGCAGGTGAGGAAGTTGAAGGCCAGTGACAGAGCCGCAGCTAGACTCCAAGTCCTGGCTTTGCCACAACAGTGCACTGCTGAGATGCTGTGCTCCACAGACTGAGACCTCTTGGGAGGCTTGAGTTTGATTCCTGATCCAACCCAAAGGCCAGATGAGGAGACACAGGCCTATAATCCCAGTGACTAGGGATGCCGAAGCAGGGAGATTACACTCTGGAGGCTGGCCTGGGCAGCATAGGCGGGCATGGTGGCACACATCTGTACGCCTGCTGGGAGGCTGAAGCAGGAGAATCGCAGCATGGCAAGACTCCATCTTGGAAAAAATGAACAAACGAACGAAAAAGGAAGACACGTCCCAGACCTCATCTAGAGCTCTTTCCAAGGAGGTCTTCTTAATGACATCATTACTGAAATTATTTTTATTATAAACAGGGTGAGCATGGACTGTAGGTTAAGATCAGTGTGAATAAAATAGTATGTTCGAGATGAGAAGTTATAATAATGTCTAGAATTCATAAGATTTCCAAACCATACGTTTTATTTATTACTAGTGAACACTACAGAGTTTAAAGGATAATCTTATTGTTGTTGTTGTTGCTTCTTTTCTAGTTTGGCCCTGTATAAAAATTAAACTCTCTGGGGCCAGATAGTAGTACAGCAGTAAAACATGATATTCTGTGAGGCAGTTCCACATGGGGAAGTTCTTGGTTCAAATCCAGAAACCTCCCTGAGTATGCCTGGCATGTGTATGCCCATGAACTGGGTCTGCATAAAGTCTGGGGTGGATCGTATCAGAACCCCGTCAGGGTGCTGTCTCTCTCTCATTCCAACTGTCTCTCCCTCTGTCTCTTGCTCACAGAAAAAATTAATAAATTTAAAAAATATTAAAGTCTCTGAAACCTTTTCCTGTCAGCAAAATATTTACTTGGCAAAGTTGTTGTAAGGAGTAGAAATATTGTACCAACTGTACCAATATTTTATTATGTCAGGAATAAACTAAGCATTCAGTTAAAAAAATAATATATATAATATTTCATATATAAGAATATATATTAATGTATAATACATATTAATATATAAGATATAATATATTAGTGTATGTGTATATATATATATACATATATACTCATTTAAAATATGTATAGTCGGTTGAGGGAGCTTAGTCCTCTTTATAGGCATAAGATTATAACTGGTCTTGGGCACGCACGCACACGCGCCCGGCGTGAGTTTTAAGCCACTGGGTCCAGGATGCGAACCACGGTCGACTACGTGGGAGTCCAGCGACATAGCCGTTACACTAACTGCTGGTTCCCGGTCCTTGCTTTTTGATACCAAAGAGTTATTAGAAAGAAGAGGGCCACCATCTCGAACGTAGGACTGAACAATGAAAAGCACATGTGGGAACCAGCAGTTAGCGTAATGGCTATGTCGCTGGACTCCCACGTAGTCGACCGCGGTTCGTGTCCCGGACCCGGTGGCTTAAAACTCACGCCGGGCGCGTGTGCGTGCGTGCCCAAGATCCTGAGAGGAGAATGGAGGAGAAGGGATTGCGGCATGACTATCCCCCCTGGGGGGTGATTTCTCGCTTTCTGTCTCTCTGTCTCTCTCTGTCTGTCTGGCGAGCGCACGCGCCCTACAGTGAAAATCTCTCCAAAAAAAAAAAAAAGCAAAAAAAAAAAAAAGCACATGTGAGGGGACTTCAGAAAGTTTGTGTATAAACAGCCTTAGATTATGACTTCATTTTGGTGGAAAAAAAAAAATGACATCCACGCATGATTTTTTCATATTACACGTTTCCCAGGAGTTTTTTGGAGACACCCTCCCCCCCCCGGATAATAGTAGTTTGGTAGGAACTTAGTTACACATTACTTAATAGGGAATGTGTTTGATATTTTTGTATACATGATCGACATTTAATCTTTACAACAACTCTGTAAAAATAGGATTGTCCTAATTTTATGGTTGATGAAACTGAGGTCTGGAGAGGTTTCGTGATTTCTGTATATCTCACCATTAGAAGGCATAGGGCTGGAATTCGATCAGCCCTGCCTGAGTCTAAAACTCACTTTTGTAACCAACAAGCACTTAGATGACTGGATAGAGCAAGCATGAACGGAAAAATTGGGGTCAAGGAAAAGCATATTCAGGAGGACAGATAATGGTTTGTGTTATGAAGCAGTGTTCTAGCATGGTTGGGATTTTTGGGAACTCAGAGAGCAGCAACTGGAGCCCCAGAGGCAAGGAGAAGTCGGCTGAGCAACACAGAAGGGAATGGCACCCCATCGCAGTCCAGTATCGGTTCCTGTACGGCTCATCGGTTGTACATCTTCAGTGCTTGGAGGAACCACAGAAATGTGCATGTCTCGGTCGTGTACTTGTGACGGATAATAGGCCCAATGCGATTTTGCTCTTGGTGCAGAAAAATAGAATCTGTGTATACTTCTTCACCAGATAAATAACTGAAGAATGAAGGAATTTCCATCCCCAAATAAACATCTAGTATTTTATTATTTATAAAGGATACTTATGATAGACTTAGAGAATTAGGGTTTAGAGTTTGTATTGTTCTTTGAAAAATGTATAATGGAATTGGGATTTGGATTTTCAAAAATTAAGAGGTGTTACCTCTCTATTCCTAGAGGAAAAAAAAAACATTGTTGGAATAAGTAGTCTCTGCACACTTAGACATATTTAAAAAGCTAATGTTAGGGACCAGCAGATGGTGTAACTGTTACATTGCTGGGCTCCCATGTAGTCGACTGTGGTTCGATACCAGACTCAGTGGCTTGAAACTCATGCAGGGTGCCTGTGAATGCGTGCCCAAGATCCTGAGAGGAGAATGGAGGAGAAGGGGTTGCAGCATGGTCATCCCTTCTGGGGGTTGATTTCTCATTTTGTCTCTCTGTCTCTCTGGTGAGTAGATGCATGCTATAGCAAAAATTACCCCCCCCCCAAAGCTATTGTTAATACCTGGTATTTTATTTTTTCTGAAATAAAGGATTGATAATATTGTTTAAAAATCTTAAAGAAAGTCGTTGTAATAAAGCAATCACTTCCTATTTAGCTTTAAATTCAATCACATGAAACATTCTAAGATGCAGGGCACAGCATCTTAGTCACCAAGGCTGAGCAGTAACATTTTTTTTTTCCCTCTCAAAAGATCCTTATTACACATTTGAACTTTATGTTCTTGATGTACTCTACTACATATAAAATATGTAACATTTAAAGGGAAGTACTGTCTAAAGCCTAACAGATAATGTACATTAATGTACAGTTCAATGTCTCTTGTACGCTTTCCTCATGAGTGTTGGATTCTTACTTAATCGATCTGCTTTCTAGTACAGTCCATGCGCTGTCAGCTGTGCTGCCACCTCCCAGTTCAGAGATGCTCTGTTGCACCTTATCCAGATAAATCCCAGCAGACCCTCTGGGCAATGCCATGGAGCATGTGTGAGGGGTGAGGTGGACCTGGGGAGTGAGTGCTTCTCAGTCAGCTTCCACTGAGTCCTCCCTAAGGCAGCCCCACCTTTGTCCTCTAGACCAGAAATGCCTGGCGGGGTCAATCCCCACGCCTTTTCAAGATTCTCGAGGGCCAGTTGGTTTGGTGTTTGGTTTTCTCCATCGCTACTTTGGGTTTTAACTTTATCAGATTTTTCTGAGTCAGTTACCATTCATTTACTTTCCAGCATCCACATTTTTAAGTTCATATCCTTCCCAGCATAAAAAATGTAAAATAACCTTTGAATAAAAAAGTAAGCTACTTTGGATACATTTATTTCTTTGATCTCACAAGTTTTTTTTTTTTTTAAGCTCTGTTAATGAATTTATGTTTGGGTGCAGGGTTTGTGGTCTCAAATGCCTACAGCGGATCAGACAGGTGTTTTAGCTCCTTTCACCAGGTCAAAACTTGGGCAGTTCAGGGTCAGAAATAACTAGTTAGGTGGGACCAGCAGTTAGCGTAATGGCTATGTCGCTGAACTCCCATGTAGTCAACAGCAGTTCGAGTCCCGGACCCGGTGGCTTAAACTCATGTGGGGCGTATGTTTGTGCATGCCCAAGATCCTGAGAGGAGAATGGAGGAGAAGGGATTCTGGCGTGGTCATCCCCTCTGGGGGGTGATTTCTCGCTTTCTCTCTTTCTGTCTTTCTCTGTCTTTCTGGCGAGTGTATGCGCCCTATAGCAAAGACCTCTAAAAAAAAATAAATAAAACCCCAAAAAACAAAACAAAGAACTAACTAGTTAGGTTTTGGAGAATCCCAGAGCAATAAATCATGTGTCCCATTTGGGACACTCCAGGAGGAGAACGCTCGCTCAGGCACAGACAGCAGCTGCAGTAGGGTAGAGATAACTGGGGTGAGGTGGCAAGGCAGAGAGCCTGAGACGGGTCCCACCTCCCCCTCTGCTGGTTCCCCATGGATTGAACTTGGAAGAGAGAGTTTCAGAAGTTCCTGTGTATCCCCAGTGGGAAGATGGAAAGTAGGTGAGAGTTCGAAGTTAGGGGAACTTCAGTGCCTCGTCATTGAAAAGTTTCATAACGTTCGTGTACTTATTATGCTTGTTGCATCCAGTGGTTTAACTGAATATGAAACTCAAAACATTGAAGGAATTTCTTCCTGCAAGTGCTATAATAGCTAAAACAGACGCAGACAAGGGCAGGCTATGGTAAAACACAATATTGTTATTTAGTGTTGACTACAGTTGCACAATCAACTTGTCAAGTAAGACGATCGGTTTCCCCCAAGTATCCTGATGTTTGCATAGCTGATGGTCATAAGAGAAATGTAAATTGTGAAGTATGACATACACAAAAAGTTATTGCTTTAAATGTCATTATTGCTAGCCCCAAAGACACAGAGTTGCAAAACATGGCAAAAACGTATGCTTTTCCTAGACCAGGCATTTATCTGCCTCCCGTTCCTTTTCCTCCATACACAACATAGACAAATGTCTAAAAAAGCCCACAGTTTGGGATCCTTCTACCCAAAGCCCTTAGCGTCTTCCTGGGTAAATGCGCGTGGGTAGGGGACTGCACTGTGCTGTCTCCTGCTAAGCCTTAAGCTTTGGGGTACAGAGTGACCGTGTCATAGCCCTCGGGGGGTCTCGTGCGGGCTCTGGCGTGAGTCTCACAGTACAGCTCCCCCTCCACGAAGAAGTAGCCCTTTTGTTTGAGGTTGAGGTTGCAGTCAGCGCACACGAAGCACTCCGGATGCCGGTACTTATCCCGCGCCTTCACTACCGCACCGCTGTGGAGGAGAAAGCAAGCTCGGGTGAAAAACACGGGGCAGGAAACTGGCACAAGGGAGAGACGGTGATGGATAAGGCAGGCGCTCTGTCTCCTGGCCAGGAAACAGGGACCTCCGGCTGTGAAACCGTGTGCAGCTGTAAAATTGTGTGTATCTGTCAGGGAGGCCCCAGGGAACCATGCAGTACCCACATGTGCTTTTCTTGAAGCCGACGCGGGAATTGTTTTCAGATTTGCAAACGAGTAATTGATAGAGAAATAGTGAGCGCCTACTACAAAATCTTGCCCCGTCATTTCTTTGAAAGAGGGAGACATGACATAGGTAAGACACATCCTGCAGAGGATTCTGCCCAAGGTTCTTGTCTCCCGGCTCAAAACCCATCTGCTTACCCTGTTCCTGGGTCAAGCTCTGTGGGATAGAACGCAGAGAAAACATGGAAAATCAGAGATGGAATTCCCAGGGAGTTGGCGGGCTTGCTTCTACTGTCAGAACAGTTGACTCCAGTTTAGAAGCCATCATTGCTTCTGGGAACATCTTGAACTACTGTGTTTTGTGAAGACCCTCTCTGCTCCAGCTCACTGCCATGCCTTTTTTACCTCCATCCCACATTCCTCCTTGTGCTTTAACCAGGCTTACCCCCAAGTGCCCTCCTGGGATGTACCCTGGAGGAGTGGACAGATGGCGCCTCAGTGTGTGAATGGAGCAAAGGCGATACAGTAATGGATGGAAAAGGCAGGCCATGGGCCACATGTAGTGGAGAGATGATTTTCTGGTTCACTTGAAGGCTTGAACTATCAGGGATGGCTATTGAAACATACAGTCTATTGAAATGGAAGATAATTGTGTTTTTAAAAATTCTATTTGGGGGACCAGCAGATGGTGTAATGGCTATGTCGCTGGACTCCCATGTAGTCGACTGTGGTTCAAGTGAAGGACCCGGTGGCTTAAACTCACGCCGGGCGCATGTGCGTGCATGCCCGCCCAAGATCCTGAGAGGAGAATGGAGGAGAAGGGATTGCGGTGTGGCCATCCTCCCGGGGGGTGACTTCTTACTTTCTGTCTCTCTGTCTCTCTTTGGCTTTCTGGCAAGTGCATGCACCCTATAGCAAAAACGTCTCCAAAAAAACCCCATATATATATATATATGTTTGGGACCAGCTGGTGGAGTGGTGGTTAAGGTGACTGGATCCCACATGGCTGACTGAGTAGTTTGAACCTCAGAATTGGCAGTCTGAAAAACATTCCCTGTATGTGTACGTGTGTGCCCAAAATCCCAAGAGGAGAATGTAGGAGAAGGGATAGTGGCATAGTCACCCCTGTGATGGGTGCTTTCTCATTCTCCATTCTCCCTCTCTGTGTCTCTCCAGTGAGTGCACACGCCCTATAGCAAATTAAAACAAAAACAATGCAACAATGAAATTATATTTCAACATTGGGGTAACTGAAAACATTAGGTAAAGACGGTGTCTTTCCATTATCAACCTGGTGACCTCTGTGTTTCTTTCCCTCAGTAAATACAGAAGAGGAAATATTCAAAGGCTATTCATTAGCAAAAGGCAGGTTTTAAAAGTGAAGGCATGATCCTTGGAAATGATTTTCTAACGTACATTTGAGCCCCCCCCCTTTTTTTCCTTGAGAGAATATCAGAAATTTTAAGTCAAGCTTTTTGATTCACGTTATATGCCAGTCTGAAGGCACATCTAAGGAGTGCTCGTCAAATGTGTTAAACGCTAGGGGCATTATAAATATTTCAAGTCCATGGCTAGGAACTTAAGTGTTTCGTAATTACATTTTTTTCTGTATAAAGTCGTAGAGTTGAGGAAACTGCCCCAAAGGTTTCTAGGGGATTCCTGAGTTAAGATGAAAACTTACACAATGCCACTGCCACATTTGTCACAGAGCGGCATCTTCTGGGCGCCGCCAGCACCTCCATAGGGTTTTGTAACGGGAGCTCTCACACTCCGAGTGCCTGCAGGACGGTCATCTGGAAAACAAAGAGTTGCCATTTACGGCAAGGTGACAGCTGGCTGTGGTTTGTACTTAGCTTCTATTTTTAATGCACGCACTTTAACCTAAGGGATTCTTAAGCTACATCTGCAGGATCATTTCAAAAGGAGCAGGACCAATTTAAGCCGAGGAGACTTTGTTCTCAAATAGAGCCTTATAAAACAGAGCTGGTAAAAACACTTTGTTGTTTGAAGGAGTTGTTATAAAGTGCTCAAAGAGCAGAGGGCTTTTTTTTTTTTTTTTTAATATATAGCCATACTATAAAATGTATCATTTAATCACTTTCGAGTGTGTGAGTCAATGGCATTAAGCGCGTTCACAATACTGATCAATATCCATTTCCAGAACTTTCTCATCACCCAGAACAGAAACTCTGTGCCCATTAAACAACAACCCTCCATTCCTCTCTTTTTATAGTCCCTGGCGACCTCTCCTCTATTTTCCGTCTCTATGAATCTGCCTGCTCTGGATACCTCATGGAAGTGGGACCGTACGTATTTGTCTTTTCGTGTCTGGATTCTTTCACTTGGCATAATGTTCTCAAGGTTCAGTCATGTCGCAGCATGTGTCAGAATTTCATTCCTTTCTGAGGTCGAATACTCTATTGTATCTCTGTATTACATTTCATTTATTCATTGGTTGGTGAGCATTTAGGTTTGTCCACCTTTTAGCAATTATAAATAATCTGAACCTTAGAGTATAAGTGTCTGAATGCCTGTTTTCAGTTCTTTTGCAGATACACCTGGGAGTGGACATGAGGTAGAAGAAAGCTGGAAAATGGAAGCTGGGAAAGAAGCCGAACCACTTGCTTATGTGGCTAGAGAGAAAATCTGATCAGGGCAGAAAACGTCCTGCTTGAGTTCATATAAGTGGGCCAAGCCACATGTGATACAGTCAATGAGGTGAATTAGTGGGCCCAGGCACATTCGATATAGCCAATGGGGTGAGAGCAACCAGTGGGCCCAGCCAATGATCAACCCACACAACCCCTGGTCAAAGAATTATAAATTCCCTGAAAGTAACTACCAGGGCCCTTGAGCCACTCTCTTCCTGCTCAGGCCCACGCCTACTTTTTGGGAGTGTACTTTTGGTTTTACTTAGTAAACTACTCTTCGCTTTTGTTATTGGCGTGTTTCGTTCTATTCTTTGTCCGGAACACCAGGAACCTGGACGTCGCTAAAGCCATCCCACGACAGAATTGCTGGCTCACCTATTCATTCTATGTTAAACTTTTCAAGGCACCACCGTTTTCCACAGTGACTGCCTCATCTTACATTTTCACTGGCAATACCCAAGAGTTCCCATTTCTCGACATCCTTACCAATACTTGCTATTTTCCATTTTTTCTTTTTGAATAACAGTCGATCTAATGAGACACTTTGCATTTCTGTGAGATTTTTTTGAAAGGACAGTCTGTATCATTTGGGAGTGGAAGAGAATAAGCCCTGAAGGCAGCAGGAGCATGCTAGAGACCTGCCCGGCTGTGCTGACTGCGTGACCTTGTACAAACTCCCTCCCTATACCTGTTTCTCATCTGCTAAATAAAGCAAATAATGCCTCCGACTTGACTGAGTTACAGTGACGACTAAATTATTTTGATAGATGATGATGATCTCCTAAAATATGGGGGGCAGCTCAGCAATTTTACATTTATTTGAAACTGTGCCTTATGATTCATGAGCCGAGCTAGCTGTGACTACCACGAATGGAATCTGTCTTCAGTGCCTTTTTAATTGCTGGTTTCAATTGGTGGCTACTTGGACAGGTCCGGGAAACTCCTTTCCTACATGGGACACCACTCGCAGCCTTCTTAGCTCTAATTCATTTGATTACTGATTAAAACCCGTTGTTAGCCTTTCACTCCCAGTATTTTTCTGTCCTCTCCTTCCCCATCCTCCCAGCCACCTCTATCAGTGATGCTTCAGCAGACGTTAACGGCTGCTCACCAGGGCCGTCGTTCACCAACTCCTGGAGCACTCGGAAGGAGCCTGACTGGCGAGGCTGTGTGGGCTCATCCCGATTGTCATGGAGCATCCGGTACACGTCCGACTGGGGCGGCACTGAGGCTGCAGATTCGCTGAAACACAAGGACGGTCCAGAGGTGTCGTCAGGAGGATTTTGAGATGCAGCAGTCGAACACGATGCCAGAAAATGCCACTAAGCATTAACCACAATAAGGTACAACAACTCCTGTATGGAGTTTTAGATTTTTCAAGGGAGCCTCTTAAGTTATTAAACTTATAATGGAAATGCACGTAGGTGGCTTTAAACATGTCATTGAGGCATAAACCTGGGAGTCACATCGACACTTCTGCATTTGGCGAACATTCTTTGGAGGAAAATGAAAGAGGATTGTCTGGAAATAGTAACTTTTAAAAAAATGAGATCTGTGTCTGCTGGAAATATAATTTTAGATGGACACAGAATGAATTTTTCTCAGAAGACAGCCTATCCATGATAGAAAGTGCAGGAGTGAGCCCAGTTTGATTATTCTCCACCATATACTGTCAATACAATTCAGATTCATTTTTGATCTTAAACTAAAAGTATATGGTTTAACTTTGTTTTTAAGATTATTTTGTTAGCCTCTGGTATTAACAAAAGTATCATTCTACTTGTAAGCTGAAAACATACAATATTTTACTGTTTGAAAGCACACAGAAACCTTTATTTTTACATACATTTTATTGATTCTATTTTTTAAATAGCCACATTCAAATTCATTTATAATAATGATAGCAGATTTATTTTAATATGCTTTCTACCAATATATCCATAGTGAGCAATATGAATTCCACCATAGCACTAAATTGTCTGGAACTACATTCTTCATTATTTTGTCATTTAATTGCATTATCTAGAGAATTGCTATCTGCACACACTTTATTACCTATGTCATACTTGAAAAGAATCACCTTGTACACCCGAAATTCTTCCTAAAAGAACTTTAAGGTATATCACACTATTATTAGCCTACCATATTCATCCCAAGAGATATTTTTGGGATATTATATAGCAATCTTAAGCATTATAAAAAGTGATTTTGTAATAGTGAAAGAACCAAGAAGATTTTATGCTATGATAAATCCTTTGAACCAAAATGTGTGATGGCAAAGTTACTTTAAACCAATATTTATAATAAAGAAGGAATGAATCAAAATAGACACCAATAGAAATGAAATAGCTCCATTAAGATCTCGAGGATATTCACTTATAAACTTTGATGCCCACTAAACATGGAAAAAGACCTCTCTAAAAGTTGCCATCACAGAGAGATGAGGTGTCATCTCTTACAAAATTCCTCTGAATCTCCCACTCCCTAACTTTTCATCCTCATAGGACAGGCACAATGTATACTAGATGATAAACCACTTTTGAGAAGATCACACCAGACATTTGCAAAGTGCACTGTAGCTTTCGAAAGACATATACACTGTGCCCCTCCGTGATTTCATTTTATTGCCGTCACACAAAGTTCTACTTAAGATAATTCCTCAGATCGCGTCTATCATCAGGTCTAGCTATTTGCGATAAACCCTTAGTATATTATTTAAGCTTTTCACATGACTTTCTCTCAATTAAGACCATGTTAAAAGACACCAACAATGCTGTCATCGCCTATGTGCTTAGTTAATATGCCCATGGTTCGAAAAGACTCATATTACCTCATGGTGGGTGTTTCCCCTAGCGCTGTGGAAACCTGACCCTGCAGTGTTTCCATAATATTGTCATCTGAGTACAACTGCATAGGTGTGTTAAACTGAGCATGTACAATCTTCACACCGGGAAGTTCCATTTCCAAAGGAATGTTAGGGGCCATCTTAGCAGCAACTTTCAAGTCACCTGGGCAAATAGTACTAACAGTACTGGCACAAGAAGGGGTGCTACGTCCACTGCCACCATCAATACCGGAGGGAGTACTGCAGCCACTGTGTTAATGACCACGTCACACAGACAGGACACAAGGAGCCAGAAAATCCAGACAGAAGAACATAGAGAACAAGTACAGAGAGGTTACAAGAAATTGAAGACCAAAAGTAAGAAATGAATTATATCCAATTAATATAAATATTGATTTCTGGTTAGAATTTACTTTAAAAAGGTAAAATGCTTACAATTCAGAATGACAAAAGTATAATAAAATGAAAAGGTACAGGTGATATTACATTTATGGCTCTACTTTATTGGATGATGTGTAAATTGGTTATGTGTAGAAAGAGTGATATATAAAATAAGAGAAAAGGTGCAGCAATCTTTTTTTTAATTTAAAAAATTTTAAAGTTATTTTTTAATTTTTTATTATTTTGCCATGGGGCGTATGCACTTGTTGAAGAGAGATAGAGAGAGAGAGAAAGAGGGAAAGTGAGAAATCATCCCCTAGGTGGGGATGGCCATGCCACAATCCCTTCTTCTCCATTATCCTCTCAGGATTTGGAGCACACATACATCCAGAGTGATTTTCAAGCTGTCAGGTCTGGGACTTGAACTGCAATCGGTCATGTGGAAATCTAGCACCTTAACCACCACACCACCTGCTGGCCCTGAAATCCTTATTTTAAAAAAACAGGTCGAATAATTTCTGAACTTAATAGTATCAGATAAATGATGGAAAGAAATTACATTGACTGGACATCCTTTTATATTTCTGGAGTTATTTAAGTATTAATAAATGATCCTTTACAAATAGTAACTGAAAATGTAGCATAAAGATCCAATCAAATATTTAAACTAAGCAGTTCAAAATCAGAAATATGGTTTAGTAATGCAGTTGAGCTTTAATTGACCAGGAATGAGCAACTCATAGGTTATGTAGTAAAGGTTATGTTTTAAGGCTATTTTGTAAATATGTTATTATTTCTACTTCTGTATTTTCTATTTTTATTCTTTCTTTTTGTAAAGAACATACTTTAAAAAACTGTTTGGTGGTTTAATACAGGATCTAGAGATAGCCAGTAAATGCTTGTCACCTTGGAATTAATGATTGAAGGACAAATGGGCGGCCTCTGACTCTTTGGATATCACACTAGGGCTAAGTTACATATTTTTTATACCCAGCCATTTTATGTAAAGTTTTGGAAACACACATACATTTTCATGCAAATTTCTCATTTCCCTTTAAAGACTAGTTGTGGCGGCTTATTAAACCATCAGAAAGGCCAGTCATGCAAATTTAAAAACTAGAGAGAGTTTATATTCCCTCTGAAACTGCACAAGAGGCCAGTCACAACTGACATGCCAGTATCTAAAAAATCATTTTTCTGCATGCATTTTAAGTGAAGCATAAGAGACGCACTTTACGAGAAAATAAAATATACTAAGACAGTTTTTTTTTTTTTAAAAAGCACAGTCATTTTAGATAGAGCAAAAAGAAATATTAGCAATCAATACAGATTTATCATGCCTGCCTGTTAGCGTTGGTGTAAGCTGGAGACAGAGATTGGTTTGGTATGTTTATCTCAATGTCAGTATTCTCTCACATCTCTTCTGGCCCCAGGTGGGCCTACTCTCTTGGGCTAATAATAACCTCAGTTCCATACACAGAGTAAGAAAAGACAAAGGGAGATTGGGTAGTGTTTTTTAAATTCATCAATGCTGCAGCCTACATTAGATTAGTCTAGACAGCCCATATCACTAAGTGGATTTCTTTTCTTTTCTTTTGTCTTGGGTTATCCAGTTCAACTGTCAATACAGCCTAACCCAGGCAGATAAATATGGGCTTGTTCCTTCACTTCTTACCTGTTGAAAACCTGTTTAAAACTCAATCTGTACATAGGTTAGGTCACATGCCATAATGTCAAGTAGCTTTATTCACTATTTTTGTAGGCTCAATACTACCCTGCCTCCTAAAATTGAATCAACTAGTAAAAGAGTAAGTTAATTTTCAGTTGTAGTACAGTTAAGCCAGGATTGTATTGACTGGACTTAATGTAATAAATTTGATGAAATTGTAATTTAGGAATTTAAAACACTAAAGTAAATCTAGGGGAGACTTTGGGCTCTAAATAGTTAACCTATTCAATAAGCATTTTAAATTTTTATTTATATTTATTTATTTATTTATTTTGTTACAGGGTGCCTGCACTTGTGAGAAAGAGGCAATGAGAGGGAAAGTGAGAAATCACCCCCAGAGGAGATGGCCATGCCACAATCCCTTCTCCTCCATTCTCCTCCTGGGATTTTGGGCACGCACGCACACGTGCCTGGCATGATTTTCAAGCTGTTAGATCTGGGACTGGAACTGCGATGAGCCATGTGGGAATCCAGCACCTTAACCACCATGCCACCTGTTGGCCTCCTCCATACACAACTCTTTCTACTCCTACTCTACTGTGTACCAGGCAGAGTGCTGGATCCTGGATAAAATATGACTAGTTTAGAACTTGCAGATGGTCTTTATTTTGTAGTTGTACTTAGTAATCTTTGTCTCGTATTAGAGTTCTTGTATATATGTTTTGTGTATATAATTTTATTGGGTCTTCAGAAAAGTCATGATATACTTTTCCTTGCAAAAATGCTTCATGACTTTTCTGACAACTCAATAGTTAAGTAAGGTTTGTGTCTTGTACTTTCTTTTTTTAAATGTGGTTTTTGCTGTAGGGTGTGTGCACTCGAGAGAGAGAGAGAGAGAGAGAGAGAGAGAGAGAGAGAGATAGAGAAAGTAAGAGGGAAAGTGAGAAACTACCCTCCAGGGGGGTATGGCCACCCTATAATAACCCCTTCTCTCTCTTCTTTTTTTTTAGAGGTTTTTGCTATAGGGTACGTGCTCTCGCTAGAAAGATGGAGAGAGATAGAGAGAAAGAAAGCGAGAAATCACCCCCCAGGGGGGATGGCCATGCCACAGTCCCTTCTCCTCCATTCTCCTCTCAGGATCTTGGGCATGCATGCACACGCACCTTGCCTGAGTTTAAGCCACTGTGTTTGGGACTCGAACTGCGGTTGACTACATGGGAGTCCAGTGACATAGCTATTATGCTGAGAGATAGTCCCAATCCCTTCTCTACACTCCTTCTGAAATCTTGGGCATGCACGCATAGGCCCCTGGTGTGATTTTCAAGATTCTGGGCCTGAGACTCCACAGTTGGCCATGTGGGAGTCCACTGATGTAATCACTACGCCATCTGCTGGCCCTTCTATCTTCTCGTCCCTAGTGTCTGTATAATCCCATGTTGTGGTTTACCTATGAAACAGATAGGAAATAAACTCTAAGCCAACAAGAATTTGATGTCCCATCTCAAGATATTTAAATTCAATTATAAAAAACCCCCAATGTGCAAAATAAAACATGTCTATGAATTGAATTCACCTATGAGCCACAGGCTTGGGACACCTGATGTAAGCCATTACTCAGTGTTCCTAACCTGTTAGGATCAATCCAGTTTCACTACCACCTTCCTCCCTCTCGGCTGACCGATTTAGCTGAGGTCAGTGGGATGGGTTTGTGGTTTCTAAGGTCACTATTTCCTGATGTGGTAACACAGGATATTAATTTTCTTTCCCATTGAATTGGAGTTTAATTTCTATAGAGAATATCTAAAAAGAGCCATCTGATCAGTTTCTCCAGATTATATGAGAATTAAGAACTTCTAATTGGGGCTGGTGGGTGGCACGGTGGTTGGGATGCTGGATCCCACAGGGCCGCCTGTGGTTTGAGCTCCGGACCTAGTGACTTGTTTTCTCATTTTCCCTCTCTCTACCGCTCTCTGATCAAATTTGAAGAAAATAAAAATAGTGATAAGTAAAATAACTAATTTTTTAAAAAAGAACTTGTTCATTTGTATTCCAGTTTCTACAATGCTATCCATGAGGGTAACCAACACGCCTCTCTCCGAACTCTTATTTTACACTTATTTTCTCCTAAGTGGGAAAGTTCCTTTCAAGTGGCTTCTCTCCCTTTGCAAGAACCCGTAAGAATGTGAATATATTTTTATGTAAGAGCTAGTGGAATTTGGAGGTACAATGAGAAGCAGATACAAAGGTGGGATGACCAGTCTGTTAAAGACATGAGGTGACACCAGCCTTCCCATAAGTGCCCTGTAGGGTTCCTTATTCTTGACCACAGGCTGATTTCCATTTTTGTTCCTTCTAGTTGGGCTTTCCTAACCTGCGATAGAGTACAGCTGTCGCCTCAAAGGTCACTGTGTCCTGGATGGGATCCCCAGATCAACAGGGCTATGAGTTATAAATATACATGGTGATTGCATGAAATTTCACAGCTCCGTAATCTTGTCAATATTTACTCTCCGAAATGGAGGTTAGTTGGCTACCGTTCTCTGCTATGTGAGCTTGTTTCTTTTTGCTTTCGAAATAATCTTCACAATGAGAAAATTCACTCCAAACATTTAACAGTTACTTTTCTTGGTGATTAGTAAAATCGGATTAAAGAAGCATGCACTCCAAACTTCACAATCTCAGAGTTTATGACCTGCTTCGGCCTGGGATTATGAAAGGTTTGGGCCGAATATTGTGCTTGTGTTCAAAGTAGTTCACATCCTGTAAAAACAAAGGGTTAAAAAAGGCCCTCAGTGGAAGATTAATATATGTTTAAGGTCAAACGAACAATAATTGTACAGAGAAGATAATTTACCACCAAGTATCGGCATGACTAAGATGGATGATGATGGAACCAGTGCGATTTCTTTTCAACCACCCATTCACTACATGTCTGGCAACTGGAGGACTGGGGTCCAGACAATTAGAATCATGTTCTAGATGCTTGTCTTTCAAATAAAAATCTGATTGTGCCTTTTGGAAAGTAAAAATAAAACAGCAAGAGCTGGACTGTTGGAAGAAGAATCCACACTGTCCCTGTTAAGAACCTTGAAGCCAGAACTGAGAGTCCGATACTTACTTTTGAGGTGAACTGGGAATGAGACCCCGCAGCTGTCCATGCAGAGCATCTTGGATATTGCTGGTTGAATAGAGCCCAATAGGCGAGTTATAGGAAGCGCTCACTACCTGCCTTTTGTCATCAATGTTTGCTGCTGCAACAAAAGGCTGGGCCCTTCTGTTGTGCGCGGTGCCAATGGGTTTGAACTCCTGTACAATGGCAGACAAAACACACAGAGCCACAGAGTGCACAACGAAGCCATTAATGAGCGAATTTCACAGCATTGCTATTGTTAATAAAGGCATCTTCATCACAAGAGTAACAAGAAGGTTAAAGGAGCTGTTAGGTACAAACCATTCTGTGATTGCCTCTGAAACTTACACATACTGAATTTGCCTAGCATTGTTAAGGTGCCAAGAAATTAACCTTATTTAAAATAGTCTAATTTAAACATTCTGTCTCTTTTCTGCACCTTACTGACTTCAACATCTGTAGCTTTTAAGAAATTCTAAGACGTGGGGCCAGCAGGTAGCGTCGTGGTGAAGGTGCTAGACTCCTATGTGGCCGACTTGATTCAGTCCTGGATCTGATGGCTTGCTCTTTCACCCCTGGCCCCCACAGTGAGTGCACATGCCCTATAGCAAAACTAAATAATAAAAAATCAATAAAATAAATACATCTTAAAAAAAGAAAAGAAATTCTAAGGTTTATTGGAATACAGAAATTTTGTGAAATAAAAGTGAGCTTTGTGGATACATTTTCTCAGGTAGAACTTACATTTGCTTTCTCATCTATTAATATTTTAATGAACTCTCATCCACTTTAAAAATGTGAGAATAAAATGAAAAGGTAATGATCTTTTATGAATAACTAAGCTGAATCATCTGAATGAATTCAGGCAACAATTCTGTTTTTGAAAAAATACCTACAACAACAAAAACTAAATTCTTAATTTAGAATTAATTTCTAGTCTTAATTTCAGAAAAAATAATAAGTATTTAAACACTTTTTATGGAATCAGGAATAAAATCTATAGAAATCCTTCTCCCCATTTTTCATTATGATGATGTTATGTTGTTTGAAAAACTCTTCATCGTTTGCTCTAGTTCTAGAAAAACCAAATTGACTAAGTTGGGGTAAACAACGTATATGATTCAAAAAGATTTTCACTTCCTTGCTTTAAGAATAGGACCAAATATCAGAATCCTAAACTAAATTTAAAACATTCCCAAATTATCTGAAGCCCTATACTATTATTTTAATATACAAATCACATTTTCCAGTGTTTACATAGATTTCTAATTTTGTAAAGTTGGTAATTTTTTTTTTCCTTCTAAGCAACAGAATACAATCTAAAGGAAATGCTAAAATACACACAGGCCAGTTCTCTTTCCAAACCTTTCTGTTGAACAGAGTTAGTAAGATACATCTTTATAACAATATTTTCACTTGTGCATTCACATTGATGCCATTTGCTCTTGTGACTATGCCATCTGTTTTTCAGCGAGATTTAAAATAGTAAAAATGGGTATCATTACTTCGAATGTAACTGGTAAGAGATAATTTTCACTAAAGGTTAAAAGATCCTGTAGTATGCTTGTTCACGTCATTTTTCTTTTCTTGTATCTGCAGATGAGTCAGTTGTGGAATGGTGAGGAGGAAAGGGGAGGAGAATGTAGAGGAGGGGAAAGGGAGGGGAGACTAAGAAGGGGTAAAAGGAGGAGGAAGAGATAGGAGGAGGAAGGGAAGGAGAAGAAAGAGAGGAGAGGGAGGAGGAGAAAGAAGAGGAAGAAGGAAAAGACTGTCTTTTGTTCTCAGAGGTGGAACTAGAACTCTTCCTAGAGAATCTTCTGCCTAACAACATGAACAATTTCCATAGGGACCTAGGCTGCAAAGTTCCTTTTTTGGTTCTCCTGTAAAGGTAGTCATTGCAAATACTTCCTCTTCTTCCACCTAGGCTGATTGGCAAAGCCCCCCCTCCCGCCCCGCCCTTTTTTCCTTTGAAAATGGTTAGGACAGAGCAAATGAGGTGCAAGTTTAAGACCTAGCCTACTAAGCATATGATGCCCCGGTACAACTGTTCTTTCATCAATCTGGGACAACCAAAAACAATTTTTTTAAGAGATTAATTTTGCTATAGGGTGTGTGTGCGTTTGCTAGAGAGAGACAGAGAGGCAGAAAGCCAGAAATCATCCCTTGCAGAGAATAGCCGCGCCATAATCCTTTCTTTTCTCAGGATTTTGGGCATGCATGCAGAGGTGCCTGGTATGTTTCAAGCCGCTGGACCTGGGATTCAAACTGTGGTCGATTACGTGGGAGTCCAGCGACACAACCATTATGCCATCTGCTGGTCCCTGGGATAATAAATTCTAATAACCTCCTGGAACTGATAAAAAGGTCTGGGTTGAAACAATTTAGCCTATTGTTCTACAGTGTGATTGAACTGACAGATATTTTGTTTATTTAATTTTCTACTTTCATAATAATGGCTTACTTACTGCCATGGAGTTGGTGGGTGACAAACAGCAGAGTGACAGAAACAACCAAATGTGGCCTTAGAAAAACGCTGACTCCTAGACCATGTGAAGATGTGTTCAAATATTTACAGAGTGGTACAATCTGATTATTGTAGCTGCTTGAATAATGAACATTGATGGCTGTGTTTTATGATGAACCATTATGATTAGCAATGTTAGGGCCTAATTTAGTTTTGGTGAATTGTAAATCTCTCAGGAAAATTAAAGAATGACTCAGGCAGGACTGAACAATTCAAGCTTTGTGGAACTTTACTAAACTGACAGATATTTTGTTTATTTAATTTTCTACTTTCATAATAATGGCTTACTTACTGCCATGGAGTTGGTGGGTGACAAACAGCAGAGTGACAGAAACAACCAAATGTGGCCTTAGAAAAACGCTGACTCCTAGACCATGTGAAGATGTGTTCAAATATTTACAGAGTGGTACAATCTGATTATTGTAGCTGCTTGAATAATGAACATTGATGGCTGTGTTTTATGATGAACCATTATGATTAGCAATGTTAGGGCCTAATTTAGTTTTGGTGAATTGTAAATCTCTCAGGAAAATTAAAGAATGACTCAGGCAGGACTGAACAATTCAAGCTTTGTGGAACTTTACTAAAAAAAAAAAAAAGAAAAAGAAAAACTACAAAATATGACCTGTCTTAAAGAGCTTGGTAAATAGAATTGAATTTTTAAAAATTAGTTAATATAATATGATGGCTTTATGTGGAAAGGAAAAAAACCCTCTCTCCTTTCTTCTTAGCTTTAAAATAACTAAACATGAACGGTGGTTGTCCTGTAAATAAGGCAATTGTCTGAAAATACACATTGATAATCTCTCACAGTACTTCCAAATAGCAGCACACAAGTTAATCAGCCCCAAGCTTTCCTTTGCCATTTTCAGTTTCGGTGACATACTATTTACACAAGTTTCAAGTGTGTAATTTGTTTTCAGAAAATTCTGTTTCCATTCAGAGAATAAAAGGAAATGTTTCTAAACGATAGGCTTCAAACATTTTTACTTAGGCTTTGCAAAGCATTAGTTTATAAGCTTCTAGAGTCATTCCAAAAAGCACGGTGAAGGGAATACACCAAAGGTAAACAAGAAATTAAACTATGGCACCGAGAGGCAGCGTCCTACCCAAGTCTTACGTCATGGTTGATGGTCACATGGAATTTAAGGACAAAACCAATGACAAGTTTGCTGTTCCACTTTAACTTCTTTTGATTTTTCCTGGAAAGTCATGAGTAACAGGAAATAACAATAAAACATTTATATAGTAGTTAATATAGTCCAGCTCTTGTGTTTATTCTTCTGAGACAAAACCATCTGAATGATTCTTATCTCTTAGGAATTCAGAAAGTAATCATTTCAGTCAATAACACATTTATAAACATTATGCTACGTGACTTTTCAATGTTTGAGTGCAGTTATCTTTTATTTTCAAATGTTTTTTTTTTGGAGAGGTTTTTGCTATAGGACGCGTGCACTCGCCAGACAGAGAGAGACAGAGAGACAGAAAGTGAGAAATCACCCCTCAGGGGGGATGGTCACGCCGCAATCCCTTCTTCTCCATTCTCCTCTCGGGATCTTGGGCACGTATGCACACGCACCCGGCGTGAGTTTAAGCCACTGGGCCCGGGACTCGAACCGCGGTCGACTACGTGGGAGTCCAGCAACATAGCCATTACACTAACTGCTGGTCCCCATTTTCAAATGTTTTAAAAAGCCTCACTAAGGAATAATATTTTGAATCAATGAAAGGCTAAGCTGCCAGAGTGAAAGCTCCGTAGTGACAGAGCTCTGTGGCCATTGGAACCTGCAGCTCTGAGAGCTTCTCCCAAGTCCTTGGAATACAGTGAGAGCACTCAGACAACCCACCTCCCAGTGTCTCACCTGGGGACACCGTCCACAGATAAAGACTTAGGCAATGGCCATCTCCAACAGAAACAGCATGTTTGATTCATAGGTACACACACACACACACACACACACACACACACACACACAGATATGCACATATGGTGGGAAAATAAGAGAAAAACTCTCTGAAGTAATCCTATATTTGATCAAGTCACAATGAGGAAATGATTATGTTTTCTCATGTTTGAAAGTTATGAACAAGCACCCCCTCCTC